TTAGGGAGATTAGCCTGTAGTTTTCTCCTCGTGTAGTGCCCTTGTCTTGTTTTGATATCAGGGTTAGTCTGGCTTCAAAAAATGAGTTTGCAAGTGTTCCTTCCTCTTCAATGTTTAGACCAGTTTGAGAAGGATTCAAACTGTCCTTTTAATTGTTCTTCAAATGTTTGGTAGAATTCATTTGTAGAACCATGTGGTATGAGTTTTGCTTCGTTGGGAGATTTTTGATTCCTGCTTCAATCTCCTTCCTCATTATCAGTCTGCTCAGATTTTCTGTTTATTTATGATTCAGTCTTGGTAGGTTGCATGTTTCTAGGAATTTTATCTGTTTTTTCTAGTCTCTCCATTCGTTGGCCCATGGTTGTTCACAGCAGTCTGTGCAATCCTCTGTATTTTTGTGATATCTTCAGTTGTAACATCTCCTCTTTCATTTATGATTTCATTTATTTGAGTCTTTTCTATTTTTTTAAAAAATTGGTTGAGCTAAAGTTTCATACATTGTTTTGATCTTTTCACACAAAGAGCTCTTACTTTTGTTCATCTTCTCTATTGTCTTTCTGATCTGCATTTCTCTCCTCTGCTAATTTTGGGCTTAGTTTTTTTTTGTTTTGTTTTGTTTTTTTTTGTTTTTTTTTTTTTTGGCTCCTTGATGTAAAGTTAAGTTGTTTATCTGAGATATTTCTTCTTTCTTAGTGTAGGCCTTTATCGTTATAACCTTCCATCGTAGAGTTGCTCCTGCTGCAGGTTGTATGTTGTTACCATTTTTGTTTCAATCATTTAAAAAAAATTCCCCTGATCATTCAGGAATGTGTTGTTTCATTTCCATGTTTTTGTGAGTTTTTCAGTTTTCCTCCTATTAGTGACTTTAGTTTCATACTATTGTGGCCAGAAAAGATATTTGGTATTTTTCTAATATTTTTAAATTTGCTAAGATTTCTTTTATAAACATATGGTCTCTAGACATTGAACAAAGGCTGCTCAGGGCTGACCAAGAGGACGGGTCAGGGGTGCAGAAAGTGAACACGGAGACAACTGGCACCTCTTTAAAGGACCGAGACCAAAAACAGCAAATTGGTGGGTATGCAGAAAAGATTATTTTTATCACTGAAAAAATTCTGCAAAAGGCAAGTGAATCTTAAAAGCAAAACAAAAACAATATATAGTTGAGGTTATATTTTATGTAACTTTAAAAGGTACGACAACAATAGTGCATAAATGGGGAGGGAGGAAGCAATGGTAGAATGTTGCAGAGATCTCACAGTACTTGTGCTGTGATGGACTGTTCACCGGAGGTAGAATGTAGGTTAAAGGTGCATACTGTCAATCACGGAGCAACCACTGGGAAAATCACATGAGGTGTGGCTAATAAAGGAGTAGATGAACTAAAGGGAAATTTTAAAATTCACTAAAAAAGGCAGAGAAAAAAGGACAGATGGGACAAACAGAAACAAGTAGCAAAATGATGAATTTAAACACAACCATATCAATAGTATTAGGTGTAATTTATCTAAATGCACCAATTATAAGACAGTCAGGTTGGATTTGAAAAGCAAGGCCCACCTGTGTGCTGTGTGAAGGAAATCCCACTTTACATGTAGAGACACAGACAGGTCACAGGGCAAGAATCCAAAAAGACACACCGTCACAAAGAGAAACCAAGCACAGGCTCAGCATTTGACACCTGCAGCGGCTGTATTCAAGTCAAACAAAGTAGGAGCCAAATGATACCATCTTTGCACCCGGGATAGAGAAGGACCTTTCATAATGACAAATAGGTTAGTGCATCCACAAGGCAATAAGATTGAATGTGCCTCCTAGGTAACGGAGCTTCAGAAAACAACAGAACTCCCAAATCCCAGAAGAGGATGACAAGCCAAACAATGGGGAAAGAGACCACTCCACATTTACAGTTGGAGATTTCAACACTCCTTTCCCAATACTGGGTATTATTTCCTTGTTTTCCTGAACTGAGCACAGACAAGGAAGAGATATGGGGTTTCCTAAGTTCCTAAGTTTCTCCCTAGACACCTCTGACTTCTGGTTTCACTTCCACATGTCCCTTTGTCTTATGTCAAGAGGTTCCTAGAGGGGCAGAGGGGGCTGAAGACTTAGGGTTTAGTTGGGACCCTGGGCCGTGGGTGGCTGGGTGTGCACCATCTACGCTTCCTTGGCCCCTGGGGCTCCTCTGTCGGAGAGAGAGAGCAGTCTCTCTGCTGTTGAAGAGAAAGCCGGACTCCCTGCCATCTCTGCCAGTGGGGAGTGGCTGGAGGAGGAGGTTGTCTGAGGCGTTGCAGGGACCCAACCAGGCAGGTTGGGGGGCTGTCCAGTGTTCAGTGAGGCTGACTCCCAGCAGTGCCTGGTAGGTGTCTGTCCCGACAGGATGAGGCTCTCCGGATTCTCACGAAGAGGCTAAACTGCACCAGGGGTAACTGATCACGCGCCCAGGGTTAGTGCGCCCACATGGTGGGTGGGGCTGGCCAAGGGTGAGCAGAGACTGAAGCTGTGCCTACTTGAGCAAGGGCATCTGTCCTCTAAGTGGAAAACGAGTGAGGGGTTGTTGGAACCAGGGGACCCATGTGGGGTGGAGGACATTGTCACCTCTTCTCCTCAACAGGGAGGCTGGTCTCACCGATGAGTAGAAGGAAAAGGAAAATGTCCCCTTGCCCCTTACTCCTCCATCCTTCAGTGACAGTGTCATGAGTGTCTTCTGGGCCCAGAAAAGTCCCTGTGCAGACTTAGAATTCGACCTTGGGGAGCCATCAACAGGCCTTCTCCCAGGTTCCGAGGACGTGTGCGGGGAGCCCCGGCTCTGCTGACCGCCGACGGCCAGTGAAGGAGCAGCTCCTGAGTCCTTTCTGGATGTGGCTGTGGTCCGAGGACACGTCCCACTGCATTTCAGTTCTTATAAATGTGGCGAGATTTGTGTTAAGGCCCAGGACAGGGCCTATCCTGATACATGTCCCATGTGCACCCGAAAAAATGTGTCTTCTGTAAATTCCAGCTTCCACAAACACCAGTTAGCCCTGTTGAGTGACGGTGTGAGGGACCCTTGTAGACCCCGGCTCGTTTTCCAGGTGGCCGTTCCGACGATTGTGTGGGGAGACTGGTCTCTAACCACGGTCGTGAGTTTGTCTGATCTCCTTTCGGTTTCAGTTTCTGCGCACACATTGTGCTTCTCTGTCTTTGGAGGAAACACTGAGGATTGCTTGGTCTTCTGGGTGGAGGGGCCTTTTTACCATCCTACAATGTTCAGCTTTCTGCATCTGGTAATTTTCTTTGTTTTGAAGTCTAATTCATTTGCTATCAATACAGCTGTTTCTTCTTCCTCTTGCCTGACTAATATTTGCACCATTTATTTTTTCCATTCTTTGATGCTCAGCCTGTTTCTACCATAATATTTCAAAGGCTTTTCCTGAAAGCAGCCTATGTTTGGGGCACGAGTTTCAACCTACTCCGCTAATCCCTGTCCTTTTATCGGCAAACACTCTGTTCCCTCGGGTGCCTGGGTTGCAGCCATAGTGGGGTGTGTCTGCTCCCTGGAACCCCTGGGGGCTCCTCCCCACATCCCAGCAGCTCCATCGCTGTCCCTGGGGGACCTCTGGGCTCCATCCCTCCCCAACCAAAGGGCAAGAATCACGTGTTTTGTTGCTCCCACTGGACACTTTGCTTTTCTTTCTTATTTATTTACCAGTGGCCATCTCCCACCTCAGCAAAGGGACAAAGGTAGCCCTTTCTTATTTGTTCCTTTGAAAGGATATTTATTGGAAAGTGGACAAGACCACAATCCAGATTCCCCATCAGGGCCCCCGAGGGGATCTGTGCAGGACCCTGGAAGCAGAGTGATGGTGGCAGCAGAGGAAGTGCCGAGTCTCGCCCTTGGTGTTGGGTTCCTGTTCGTGCTTGCTGTGGCTCCAGGTGGGGCATGTGGGCCTCTGGCTCCACTTCGTGCTCAGCTGTTCTAAATTATTTGCCCTTTGACTTGTCCCTTCAGTGATGTGAGGGCATCAGTGACCTGGACCTACTGTCTGTGAAGCACCGGGCAGAGGACACCATAGGGACCCAGCAGGATCCAGGGTGAGCTTGAGTTTGTGTGTGAGGGTGGAGACCCTGGGGGCAGAGCAAGCGTGGGTGCAGAGATGAGCTGCTAACCTGGCTCATTTACCTGGGCCTGGAGCTGACCCTCCCGGATCTGCATGGCACAGCGGGGCGGACACTTTGCCCACCATGGTGTCACCAGTGCCCAGCCCACCAAGGCCTGTCTGCCCTTTATTAGGAGGTTGAAATAAAAATCTCCAACCCTCTTAATGGTTTCGGCTTCACCCCGGAGTGGAAAAGCACACCCCACCCTATGAGTGTGCCAGGCAGTGAGGACAGTCCTCTGAGGAAGCAGACCCTCCTCAGGGTCTCTGTGGCTCCCAGGGACTTGAGTCTGTAGTTCAAGTTTCCTTGGGCTTCAGCAGCCTCTGCATTCAGGCTGCTAAGGGGTCTGATAGTGACACAGACTCCCCCGGGGAGATGCCCCCTGCAGTGACAGAGGGACAGTTCTTCAGGGTCTTCTCTTCTTGTGGGCACACACCCTAGTGGGTGTGTGTGTCTTTCTGCACTTGGGTGTGAGCGTGGTTTTGCAGGTGGGGGTGGGGATGACAGAGCAGCGCCTTTGTTCAATGTGAGTGTCAGGCGGATGAACTGACACCTACAAATACTGATGTCGGACAACACAATGTGAACTTCCAGTGCATTTATTCATTCAATTCATGGTCAACTGAAACAAATGGGAATGGGCTGAGGGTTTGTGTGGGTTCCCATACTTGGTCTGGTGGGGACACTGGGGCTGATTCAATAACATGCAACAGCAGCTTGAGGTCAGTGGAAACCAGGCAAAAGCAACGACAGTTACTTGGCTGAAGTAGGAAAGGAGCCCAGAGAGGCCGGTCACAGGGGCAGGGTTTGAGGGGAGGTGGGCAGTGGGCCCTGGTAGGACTTTGTCATTGGTAGATTACTGCCAGGTGAGGGACATGGGCAAAGCCTGCAGATTCTGGAGGCACAGACACCAGAGACGAGTATGACTGTCAGCTGGCGGGACAATGTCCTGTTTACAGCCTGTCACTGAGGATCAACCTAGGCCTCAGGCCTTTGTCTGGTCAGCAGCCAGAACAGGAGGACCACAGTGCCCAGCACCAGGGCCACGCCCATCTTCCGGGGCTGCACCCAAGCCCATAGCTGGCCCAGCAGCTGCCGCCCGTTGTAACCACGAGCGCGGAGGGCTAGTTTCTCCGCCACCCTGTGCCTCCGCTCCTCCGGGTCCGCGCCGGCCAGCGCCTGCGCCAGGTGGTACACGTCGTTGGTGAAGGGGACACCTGAGTGAGTGTCCATGAGGTGCTCCACCAGCTCCAGCAGCTCCTGCACCTGGGCTTCCTGCTCCTTGTCCACCGCCCGGTTGTTGAAGGCGCACACGCGGCCCCCGCACTCGGCCACCATCCTCCGCAGTGCGCGGTTGTCCGTGTCACGCACGAACTCCTGCACCGAGCCCCCGGCCAGGTCCTCCTTGCGTGTGAACAGCACGATGGTGTGCGCCGTCACGCGGTCCCCGAACAGGTCCTTGAGTGCGCTCAGAGCCTGCTGGTCTTGCGCCGTGAAGCGGCCCAGCTGAGTCACCAGGATCACTGCGTGGGGCCCTGGTGCCGACAGCAGGTAGCAGCGCGTGCGCTCCTGGAATCCTGGGTCTGTCTTGGGGACTTGGGAGCTGAAAAGGTCCGGAGTGTCCATGACTTCCACGTGCCACTGACGCCGCTTACAGCTCCCCACCTCACACGTTGTGGTCACCGAGGTGGCCCCGAGCTTGGAGAAGAAGCAATTCTGGCCCAGGATGCTGTTCCCAGCGGCACTCTTCCCCGCCCCTGTCCTCCCTGCCAGGATGAGCCTCAGCTTGCGCTCCTGCAGGCCCCACGTGCTGTCTTCAGAACCTGGAGGACAGGTGGTCTGTGAGCTTCCGGACCCTAAAGCAACTAGGTATCCTGGTTACCTGGTCCCCCCACCCCCAGCCCCCAGAGCCCTTGTAACAAAGGAGAACAACAGCGTTTCAGCTCTGCTGTCCAAGCAAACCCTTACTGCTTGGTCATCGGTCAGAGCTGTCCCTGCCCCAGGGGACCTTCACCGTCCACCCCTGTCCTCTCAGCTTCACCACCAGCACCTGTAGATGCTCACCACCTGGTGGGCATTCCTCTAGGGGATGCCCCTCTCTAGTCCCAGTCACGGCCTCCCCTGCATCATCCCTGGTCGTCCCCATGGTGCAGAGCTGTCCCTGCTGGGCAGCATCAGTGGCCTCTGCCACAGTCCCCCAGGGTCCAGCCCAGGGGAGAGGGCAGGAGGGGGCAGTGGGCCTGGGTGTGAAGGGCTGTGTGGAGTCCCAGACACCCCGGGACTGACACACAGCCCCGCCATGGGCCAGCTGTGCCACCCTGGAAGTTGCTTCATCTGAGTGTTAAAGCTTTGTGCAAAATTGGGAATAATAGTGTGGTGTTGTTTCCTCCTGGGGGTGTTGGGGGTTAGATGACATCACTTCTTTCCTCCTCCTCCTCTCCCTCTCTCCCTCCTCTCCCCTCTCCCCATCCCTCTCTCTGAACCCTGCTGCCTACTAATAAGACACCTGTCTGCCCCTCCACCCTGGGCCTCTAACCCTCTGCCTGGTGCGTGACCCCCTCCAGTGCAGGAGCTGATGCCCTCTCCACCCTCCTCTGTGGGGTCAGGTGGGGTTAGTGTCTGCATTTTACACTTTGGCACTGGTGGGGGGTGGCTCAGGCCATGAAAGAAGTTAGTGCCTCCCAGCTGGGCAGGGGCAGGAGCAGGGACGCAGCTACAGTGCATGTGTCAGGACTCTTGCTGTGTCACCCCTGACACCTCAGGGTGCCTGAACAGGGCCTGCCTGTTCAGTCCATTTCCATCATCACCCAGAGCTCATACCTGGGGGCAAGTTCCCAGTGAGAGACGTGCTCTTACCCCAGGCATTTTCCTCATCTCTTGCGATCCTCCGTCCTCCCATGCTTAGCTGGAAGAGTCCCAAACACAATTGGTTCATTAAAGTGGTACAACTACCTCCGAGAGCTGCTGACAGCACAGTGACACAGTTGTGGTCCCCGCCCCCCCGAACATGGGACCTGAGGGAGCAACACTGGAAGGGCCGGGCAGGGGGGCTGACGCTGGGAGAGGTTTGCTGAGCTCGGTCTGTCTGTTCAGGGCCGACGAGGGGGAAAGGCCCAGGGGAGGTTGTGACAGTGACTCAGGTCAGTGACCAGGCTTCAGATGCTAATTTCTCCCAGGTAGCTCTGTGTTGGGGACCAAAGCTGTGGATGCTACATTTTCCCAGGAGTCTCTGGGAAACTGGGAGACCAGACGAGAGGCTCAGGGACTGCGGGAACCACTTACTGGGGTTGGCTGGGTGACATACAGGATGGGAATTGGAATTGGAGTTATGGAAACCGGAGAAGAATTGTATGTCCCAGGTGACCTGGAGAGCCTGTGACTCTGGGGAGTCAAATCCTTGTCCTGCCTCAGTGTGTCTGATGGGATCGGTGTCCCTGAGAGCCTGGGCCACTGGCCTCCGACTCCTGACCTCCTGCCCCCAAAGACGTGGCTTCTCCAAGTCAGGTGGTTCCAGCCACTCAGGCATCAGTAACTCAATGGAACCTTCTGTGATTACCAAGTCCCTGAGCACAGCGCCCCCTCTGTCCTCAGTGTCCTCTCCAGCCTCAGGACAGTGACCCCCTCACTGGGCTGCCCCCTAAGACAGCAGATGTCAGGCCTTTCCCAGCCAACTTTCAGCCGCCCCCACACCCTGTCTGAGCCCTGTCCTCACTGTACCATCCATGTCTAATTCCACCTGGTGACCGCAGGTGACTCCATTCACTCCTGGTGGCACCACATCAGGAAAAGCCAAGAGAAGGAGGGCTTGTCTCTGGGGAAAGGACTTTGATGACCAATAGCCTGGTCCTCAGTCCAAAGGCGCTGGCATTTTAGCAGGTACACCACTCCCCTCCCCCTCCAAGCCGACACTACTGTTCACGCCCCCCAGCCCTGGGCCCCACCTTATGAATCAACACACTCCCATGGATGGCAGCAAAGCAGAACTGGAGAAAGAGCCACAGATTCAGAGCAAAGACCAGGAATTTAGTGAAAGCAAAGGGTCCTGGTCCAAGAAGGAGAAGAGAAGGTACAGGGACCACCCAGGACCCGAGGGTGGGCCCTTCAGAACTTCCCAGAGTCTGGGGTGGGATTTGGAAAGTTTTCTGCAGTTCCAGACACCTGACTTCTGGGCTGCAGGACACACGGGGTCCCTGGAGAACGGAAAGCACGCAGGGCCCTGTGTGTCAGACCTCCTCGGGGCAGGTGTGCTCACCTGGTCCAGGGCTTCTGACCCCCCGTGTTTGGGCATTATCGAGGGGACTCTGGGAAAGGTGCATTTCTCAGCGGATTTGGTTCACATGTCAGTACTGTCAGAACATAAGCAGCCCCGAGCCCCCGCCCGCCGGTGATTCCAAGGCGCTCAGTCTGGACCTGGGTCTCTGGGTCAGTCTCCCAGTCCAGCCCCTCACCCTGCTGGGAGCGGGGGGAGCTCAGGGGCTCAGCTGCCACACACCCTGGCAGCTCGAGTTGGGAGCAGTGTCTAAGGGCAGAGTTAGGGCAAGGGAGTGAAGACCAAGTTCACCACCTTGGCTGTCTCCTCAAACAAGACCCCCTTTAGACAACTCGGAGCATAGTGCAGTGTTCTGGGCGGTTCAGCCCAGGACCCACACCACTGTCCCTTTGTTGCCTGTTCTCAGGGCAGACTTGCTGCCCTGTCCTCGGAAATCTCTTGCCCATGCGAATACGCACGTGGGGAGAGTGTGCTGCCCTCTAAAGGGAGGTTTGGTCCCTGCAGGAGAGCAAGCGGACCCCCTCCCTCCCTGGCAGGGGAGCCCTTGGGAGAGGGCTGGTCCTGTGGGCATCAGGGCTGGGGAGCTGCAGCCATAACCTGCTCTGTGTGGGACTCAGGGCGTCCTGAATGTCTCCCTCTGGGTCCCGAGACCCTTCCATCTGCCCTCTGGCCCAGAGCCACTCAGGGAGCCTCCTGCCCACACTGCATTCCTCCCCATCCTCACAGCCCTCCTCCCCGGGGGCACCATCTTCCTGGGGGCTCACCTTTCCTGCAGGAGGCAACAGTCCAAGAAGACCCAGACCAACTGCTGTCCTCTGGTTTGAGTGCAGCAGGCTGTTCCTCCTGGTACCAGGGGAAGTGTCCTGCCTCTCAGATCTCAGAGAGCAGGAAGCCCAGGGGTGGGGTAGGGGTGGGTCCTGGGGTGACAACTTAAAGAGACAGCAACACTCCTAACTGAGGGAGTGGGGATGCTGAGTTTCCACTGGGAAATTATGCTGTGGTCCATGGTGGTATTCTGTGAAAGTCCCTGTGACACCAACAGCTTGTTCCCCCAGGGGCAGTAACCTCAGGGGACAAGAGCATGTAAGGTTCTGAGACCTGTATTCACTTCTAGCCTTGACCACGAGTCTTAACTGCTTTTGCTCGCTAGGCATTTTCCTATAAAATGCCCTCTCCAGAGCCTCCTTCCTTGGGCCAGTGCCACAAAGGCGACCCTGTCTGCCAGGAAGGCCCTGGGCAGGGTCTCTGGATTCTCAACAGAAAGGAAGGCTTTTCTGAACGTCCAGCAGAGGGCCGCAGGGAGGGGAGGAGCACTCCCACCCAGAGCTGCCCCAGCCCCTCTGCAGGTGTCTGCCGCCAGGGGGCCAGGAGACCTGAGGAAGGTGAGGAAGCAGACAGGTTTGGTGTAGAGGGAGGAAGGCTGCCCCGGGGTTATGGGGGTTTGGGGCCTGGGCCTGGGCAGGTCAGAGACAACATGTGACAGGGCCGGACTCACTGAGACTCCCTGGAGGTGACATTGCCCATAGATGGTGAGGGCTTTGACTTCATCTGAAGCTCACGGGCTGGGGTCTGATTTCGGCCCATTAATGCCAGCTCATCATTGATAATGAAGAACCCAACACCCACTGAACCCACCTACTGTTCCCCCCACTCCCCCCAGCTCTACTGAGGTGTGATTGACATGTAACGTTGTGGAAGTTTAAAGTACAGAGCATGCTGGTTTGTGCATTTACCTGTCGGCAACGACGATCACCACCGTAGTGATCACTGGGGTGCTACCACCTGCACCACTTCCCATGACTCCTGTTTCTGTTCTGTGGTGACAACACTGAAGATCTGCTCTCCTAGCAACTTCCAGGGACAGAACACAGTGCCATTAACTCCAGTCACCGTGTGGTGTATTTCATCCCCAGAACTAACTCATCACTAAGTGACCATTATGCAGTGTGACCACCATCCCCCCATTCCCCACCTGCCTGCCCCTGCTAGCAGCCAGACTGCTCTCTCCTCTGAAAGTTTGGGTTTTTAAATCCCACCTTGAAAGTGATACCAAACAGTGTTTATTACCGTGTCTGAGTAACTTCACTTAGCAAATGCCCTCCAGGTCCGTCTGCAAGTGGAAAGATGTCCTTCCGATTCTCATGGCTGATCACACACGCATACACGGGTGGGCAAAAGTAGGTTTACTTATTTGTGAGTACGCAAAATAGAGGTTAATCTTGTATCATTATTCATTAAATACTGTTTTTTACTCACCACCCTAAACCTACTTTTACCCGCTCCTGCACACTCTGTCCCTCATACCCCTCACGTGACCTTTGTCCATGGGTCCCTACACAGGACCTTAGGTGGCTCCCACACCTCGGCTGCTGTGAGTAGCGCTGCAGTGAGCAGGGAGGTGCCGAGGCCTCTGTGGGGTCCTGTGCTCGTTCCCTGTGGATGGTGTCCTTGTGGACCAGGTGGTGGTGCCGTTCTCAGTTGTTTGGTGACTCTCCGTGCTGTTTTCCAGAGTGGCAGTCCCCCTTTCTATTCCCACAGACAGTGCACAAGGGTTCCCTCCCCCCATGCCCTCACCAACACTTGTTATTTCTTGTGTTTTTGACAGTAGGTGTTCTAACAGGAGTGAGGTGCTATCTCCTTGTGGTTTTGATTTGCATTTCCCTGATTGTTAGTGATGTCGGGCACCATGTTATGTTGACCATTTACATGTCTTTTTTGAAAAGATGTCTATTCAGTCTGTCTGCCCATTTTTAAAAAAGGGATTGTTTGTTTTTTGGCCAATGAAGTATAGGGATTCCCCACATATTTTGCATGTTAATCCCGGATCAGATACATGACTGGCAAATGTTTTCTGCTGTTCTGTAGATTGCCTTTTCATTGTATGGGTAGCTTCCTTTGCTCTGCAGAAGCTTATTACTTTGATGTTTTCCCACTTACTTATTTTTGCTTCTGTTTCCTTGCTTTTGGGGTCAGATCTGAACAATGATGACCAAGACTGATGACAAGGAGTTTACACCCTTTATTTCCTTTTAGGAGGCTTATAGTTTCAGGTCATATTTTCAGATCTTAGTCCCTTGGAGTTGATTTTTGTGTATGGTGTCAGAGTGGAGTCCAGCTTTCTTCTTTTTCACATGGTTGTCCCGTTTCACAGCATCGTTCATTGAAGAGACTCTCCTTTTTCCACTGTATGTTCTTGACTCATTTGTTGTAATTTAATTGACCATTGATTTCTGGGTGTCTGTTTTTGTGACAATACCATACTTTTTCATTAGTATAAGTTTGTAATATAGTTTGAAACCAGGATACGTGATATCTCCAGCTTTTCTATTCTGTCTTAAGACTGCTTGGGCTATTCAGCATCTTCTGAGTTTCTATAAAAATTTTAGGATTTTTTTTCTATTTCTGTGGACAATGCCATTGGAATTTTGACAGGAATTGTGTTGAATCTGTAGATTGTTCTGAGTCATGTGGACATTTGAAAAATATTAATTCTTCCAATCCATAAGCACAAAATAGCTTTACATTTATTGTGTCTTCTCCAATTTCTTTTAGCAATATCTATAGTTTTCAATATACAGATCTTTCAGCTCCTGTTTCAATTTAAATTTCCTCCTTGGTATTTTATTCTTACAATGTTATTATATGTGGGATTATTTTCTTAATTTCTCTTTCTGATAAATCATTATTAGTGTATGAAAATGCAACTGAATTTTTTGTATTTGTATACTGATTTTGTATCCTGCAAATTTACTGAATTTGCAGGACACAAAATTTGCTTAGTATTTCTCACAGTTTTTTTTTTTTTTGGTGGATTCATTAGGATTTTCTCTATATAACATTATGTCAATTGCAAATAGAGACCATTTTACTTTTTCATCTTTGATTTGGATGCCTTTTATTTTCCTCATGCCTAATTGCTCTGACCAGGACTTCTAGTAGAATATCGATTAAAAGTGTTGAGAGTGGTCATCCTTGTGTTGTTCCTGAGCTTGGAAGAAAAGCTTTCAGCTTTTTACTTACAATGATCTTAGCTGTAGGCTTGTCACATATGGGCTTTCTTATGTGGAGGTACATTTCCTTTGTTCCTGATTTAGTACTTTTCTATCTGTTTTTAGTCATACTAGCTGAAGATTTTTCAGTTTGTTGATATTTCCAAAGGACCTAGCTTTGGTTCTGCTGGTTTTCTGCAGTGTTTTTCTATTCTCTAGTCCATTAATTTCCATGCTACTCTTTACTATATTGTTCTTGTGACATAGGCTTTAGGTATAGACTGCTGCCTCAGTCACTCTTTAATGTGGAAGAGTAGGTTATTGGTTTGAGATCATTGTTCTCTATTCAGTGTAGCTCCATATGAATTTCCATCTACAAATTTTCCTCTAAGTGTTGTTTTAGCTGCCCCTCATAGGGTTTGCTGTGTTGCTCTCTGAGGCACAGCTTGGGGCCCGGTGCAGAGGATAGCAGCCTCTGGTGTCTCATCTCGCCCCTCCCAGCAGGGACCCTCCATCCTATGTGGGAGCTGGAGTGTGAGCAGCTGGGGTCCCCTCATTCTTAGCCTGCTGGGCCTGGACTGGAGCCTATGAGCTATGAGTGGAGCAGCAGAGAGCTGCTGGCAGCACTCACTGGACTCGTCCTGCAGCTCAGATTGGGAGGGGTGAGAAATGCTGCCCCCCACCCTCGTTTGTGAAGCACTGAGCTCTACGGGAACTCTGGGGAAAGGTCCCCGTCTGCTCAGCCACATGTGCCCAGAATGGGGTTTCCTTCCAGCGGAGCTGAAGGTGCGCTGGGGAGGGGAGAAGAAAGTCATGGCTCAGGTACCACACGGACTCCCACTCCTCTCACTAAGGTTCAGTAGATTTTTAAAAAGTAACAATTTTTCATTAACTGTGTAAAGTTAGGGCAACTTTTAGAGACTTTAACTGAAAAAGTTCCCCAGCTGTGGTTGTCCCACCGGTAAGGGGTCTGCAGGGTGCCTCACGTGCCGTCTGGCAGAGGAAGCCCTGTCAGTGGTTTCAGACTAAACGTGGCAGCGAGCAGGCTCCCTCCCCGTCCTTCCCGCTGATCACAGGGATTTGGTGTCCCTTGGCTTCCCCTTCTAGTTGTGCTGTCTTGGTGTTGAATGAAATATTGGGAAGTGGGGACCTTGGGGACAGCTGCCATTGTCCTCCAGGTTGCCAACCTCATCTGGAGACCTTGGTTTTCCACCTGCTGCAGACGTTGGCCCTGCAGAGGACTGGAGACATGCCGGTGTCTCCTTGTGTTTCCACAGAGTCCTCTGTGGCTGTGCATAGCTCGCGTACCAGTCCTCTGTTCTGATTTTCAAGTCATGCTGCTTCATGACCATCAACATTAGAAAACAGAGAGGCTGCTCAGCTGCTCACTCACCACTCAGCTCTGAGAGCTTCATTGTTGGAGGCTGAAGGTCAGCCACATCCGGGAGCACCTACTGCAACGTGAGGCAGAGGACACATTGTCGGGCTCCCGTAAGACTCCAAGTGCTCAGGGTCCTGCCCGCTCTGCTCGAGCACCCAGTGTGGGTGGGAGACTCCTGGGAAAACTCCCGCAGCCCATCCACAGGCAGCTGCAGCCTGGGAGGCTCCAGGTGGGTTCTGAGTACAGGTCAGTGTGGTGTCCACAGGGAGGGCTCTTCTTGGCCCAGTCTGTCTTCTCTCACTTGTCTGAACACACAGCACAGGTACAAATAAGGGATGTGGGCTCTGTCACCGAGCTCTCTAGCCTATGCTGTGACTACAGTTCTAAGTGACGAGTCAAACAGCATCGGGAGGACCTGAGGCAGGAAGGGGCTGAGGCTGAGGCAGGTCGGACGCTTTCTTGTACGCAAGTGAATTCACAAGAAACCACCCTGTAG